TAAATCAAAAATTAGCCAGACGTGGTAGTGCGCACCTGTAGTTTCAGCTACTTGGAAGGCCGAGGAGGAAGGATCTCCGGAGCCCAGCAGGTCGAGGTTGTGGTGGCCGGAGCGGCTACTGCACTCCAGTCTGGGTGACAGAGTGAGACTCTAACTCAAAAAAATTAATTAATTAATTAAAATGACTAGCAGAGTTAAATATTATCCTTAGTCTAAGACCAGGTCGTGATACTAAGTAAATTAAATACTATTTTTTCAATTACTTTTCTAATTTGCATCATAGAAGGTTTTGTACCTATAAATGCATCCTTGTAGACCTGGATTTATTATTTCTTAGAAATTTAATATTAAATTTAGGGACAAATTTCCACAAATTCTGTTTCAAGCCATTGTATTTTATTCAAGATTAGGGAATCAGGAACTAGGGTAGTGGTTTGCACCTGTAAACCCAGCAACTCAAGACGCTGAGGCAGGATTGCTTGAGGCTAGAAATTGGAGACCAGTCTAGGCAACATAGTGAGACCTAGTCTCAAAAAAAAAAAAAAAGATTAGAGCCGGGTTTGGTGGCTCAGCCTGTAATCCCAACACTTTGGGAAGCCGAGGTGAGTGGATTGCCTGAGCCCGCAGGTTCGAGACCCGCCTGGGCAACTTGGCAAGACCTTATCTCTACAATAAATCAAAACTAGCGGGAGTGGTAGCGTGCACCTATAGTTCCAGCTACTTGGAAGGATGAGGCGGAAGGATCGCCAGAGCCCAGCAGGTGGAGGCTGCGGTGGCCAGGAGCGGCCACTGTACTCCAGCCTGGGCGACAGAGCGAGACTCCAACTCAAAAAAAAAAAAAAGAGAAATAGAAACTGAGTAATGAGCTGGGTTCGGTGGCTCAGTCTATAATCCCGCACCTTGGGAGGCTGAGGTGAGTGGATTGTCTGAGCCCGCGGGTTAGAGACCCGCCTGGGCAACTTGGTGAGACCTCATCTCTACAATAAATCAAAAATTAGCCGCGCGTGGTAGCACGCACCTGTAGTTCCAGCTACTCGGAAGGCTGAGGCGGAAGGATCGCCGGAGCCCGGCAGGTCGAGGCTGCGGTGGCTGGGAGTGGCCACTGCACTCCAGTCTGGGCGACTGAGTGAGACTCCGACTCAAAAAAAAAAAAAGAAGAAAACCAAAAATTAGCCAGGTGTGGTAGTGTGCGCCTGTAGTTCCAGCTACTTGGAAGGCTGAGGCAGAAGGATCACCGGAGCCCAGCAAGTCAAGGCTACAGTGGCCAGAAGCGGCCACTGCACTCCAGTCTGAGCAACAGAGTGAGACTCCAACTCAAAAGAAAAAAAAAAAAAGATTAGGGAATCAGGATGAGTACCCAGGGTGGGAACACAAAAATTTACAGGACTAATCATAATATCATCCAGCTGCTATTTGTGGAGCACTGATCAAGTGCCATTCCTTACATATATTATGTATAATCTTCATAAAAACACTCTAAGTAGGCAGTGATGAGAAAACTGGGACTCAGAAAAGCGAAATAATTTGCTCAAGTTCACACAGCTCATAAGTGGTGCAGCCAGATGAGAACCTTATTTATTTATTTTTTTTGACCTGCAGTACAGTGCTGTTTTGGGAAAATGACCAAGGAAAGACCATTTGAGGAGTAAGGGAAGGGCTTGAGCCAGGCACAACACTGGTATGAGGAAAGGCCTGTCTTGCAAGAAAGAGTAGGTATGTAAGGCAAGAGAACTGAGTTGTCAGCTTAGTACCAGAAAGGGGTTAGACAATGCACCCAATGTCCCAACTTGATGCATCTTAATTTCTTTCTTTTTTTTTGAGTTGGAGTCTCACTCTGTCGCCCAGACTGGAGTGCAGTGGCCGCTCCCGGCCACCGCAGCCTCGACCTGCTGGGCTCTGGCGATCCTTCCGCCTCAGCCTTCCGAGTAGCTGGAATTACAGGCGCGCACTACCACGCCCGGCTGATTTTTTGCCTTATTGTAGAGATGAGGTCTCGCTAAGTTGCCCAGGCAGGTCTCGAACCCGCGGGCTCAGGCAATCCACTCACCTCAGCCTCCCAAGGTGCGGGATTACAGGCTGAGCCACCGAGCCTAGCTTTCTTTTCTTTTTTTTTGAATCAGAGTCTTACTCTGTCACCCAGGCTGGAGTGCAGTGACATGCTCACGGCTACCACAGCCTCAACCTGCTGGGCTCAAGCAATCTTTCTGCTTCAGCCTTCCAAGTAGCTGGAACTATAGCTGTGCGCCACCATGCCCAACTATTTTTTTTTATTTATTGTAGAGTCGAGGTCTTGCCATGCTACCCAGTCTGGTCTTGAACCCCTGGACTCAGGCAATCCTCTCACCTCTGCCTCCCAAAGTACTGAGATTACAGGCATGAACCACCACGCCGAGTCATCTTAATTTCTGACTTCACAAATACTAAACCCAATTGGCAAGCATTTGTATACTATCATCTACTAACACCAAAACGTAACTTACTTTGTTCCACAGCACTCATGTTTAAGGTTAAACTCCTTGCTTGATGTAAGCTAAAAAATAATAAAAAATAAAAAAATAATAAGAAAATCCCTGCAGGAGCAGTGTAGGCCCTTATTTAGGAAGGAAAAGAATACATAAATGAATCATCCATATAAATTGACATCGAATCACTTAGTGCTTTCCTTTAACCTTTAGTTTTAATTTGGTTTAACCTTTAGTTTCAGGTTTAGCTGTGCCTTCCAGTGACTCTAATGACAGGGACGCCGTAAATGGATTTGAGTTAAGTTCTTGCAAGAAGTGACTATCTGGCACAGAAAAGCCATTTCTTCTAGATAAAGGGTAGAATGAGCAAATTAAAGACTATTCTTTAATAACCAAATGTAATTAAAATACATTGTCAGATTTATGTTTTAGTACCTCAGAGGCATTGATATTGCCTGTTTCTGAAATGAGATTGCTGATTCAAAAAAAAAAAAAAAAAAACTCTCAATATATAGAAAATTCCCCTAACCTCCTCCTCTCCTTTTAATTGTGATGTTATGATATAATTCACAGGGTAAGAGAGAAATGTACCTCTTGGGGAATTTGTAAACATACTTAAGGTTTTGTCACTTATGGAGCTTCAGGCAGAAGGCTTCTTTTTTCTATAATCAAGTATCATTTAGAAAATGACAATATTTATTAAGTTCCTTGGAGTGTTCTCATTGGTACAAATCAGTCCCCACCCCCCCCCTTTTATGCTCCTAGAGTAGTTTAGTTGCTTAACTACAGTAACTCAAAAGAGAGGCACTTTGGTTTATCACTGACATTCTTGTGGGCACAGTGGCAGCCTAGCTGTTCAGACGTTCCTGTTGAACTTGGCTCCTCCCCTGAGGAGCATGAGAAGTGGAGATAAGGGCCCCAGGGGTGATTTCTCTAGGCTACTGGCAGGAGGATTCAGGACAGCTACTTTCCTTTGCAGGAGATGGAGAGCCATGTGTACAACTATGAGAGCAAGGGGACTCTGCAGTCCTGGGTTACCCTTGCTCTGTTCTCTCATCTAGCTTTCACTATTTCTTTTTTTTTTTTTTTTTTTT